CTATTCATTTTTTGCTTGTCCTTTCTCCCCCACATCCACCTGGTATGATAGATACCGAGAAATGGAAGGAAAATGTGCAGTTGACAGGCTTTTCCACAGCATAATTTCCACGTGCGTTCTTCATCTTCTTACCATTCATTTACTTCTCAATCCTCAACCCTTTCATTTTTTTGTGTGTCTGTGCACAGTTCTACTAAAATGGCCCATTTTCTAGGCTCTCAAGATCCTCTAATAATCAAGCAAAATATCATTTCAGGAATATTGTAAGAAAAGATGAAACAGATCCTCCTTTGATCCTTGCCTCTTCCCAGGCTCTGTCTTGTCCTCTCCCATGGTTTTTAACAGTTGCACAGTTTCCATTCTGGACACTGAGTCCTCCATAGCTTTCCCGCTGTTACAAATTTAGCATAACATTCCTAACGACAAACGCACTGTCAGCTTTTCTCCAATTCAAAGTCCAACAGGGAATTCCTTGCTGCCGTAAAATAAGTGACAATATTTTCATGACTTTGGCATACTGGGTCCAGCTGGATGCAGTATCTACCATTATTTTCAACCTGGTACTTCCCCATGTACACATGCTAATCATGTTCAAGCAACAAATTCAGTAATTTGGGGCACTTCATCTTTGCATCTAGGATTTTCCCTGTCCTGAATATTCTCCCTATGCTTGTTGGCTTAGAGAATGCTTATCAACACTTACGAAAATCATACAAGTGTGAAACTTACTTAGGGATCTTATTTTAAGTTGCTTCTCCAAGGATCTACATATAGTATACGAGGAAGAGCAGATTGCTATTCTATTATAGATTTAGTAGTTTTCCTTTCTATCTATCTATAGCAAAGATTTTTCTTTACTTACTGTATTTTCAAATACTGTATCTGTTTTAAATGATTCTTAGTGTCATGCTTTATCTGTCCTTTCATAGTTTTTCAAAGGTATTTGTAAATATGCTTTACAAGCAACATTATTCATTTAAGAATAGCTTTTGTTAATTTTCACCAATCTTGAGATTATGTATATGTTCAATTTGGATATCTCTCCAGGTCTTTTTTGGGGGGAAAAGGTAGGCATTTTAGAGGTTCATAAAAGTAAAGAGAGTAATAAGATTTCTTAAACCTTTTCAAAATCTTAAGATTTTTTTTCAAAATTGATCACGTATAAGTTTAAAGAAAGAGAATTTGAGAAATGCATTATGTTCCTTTCCAGGTTATTATATGTGATTATTACCCCTGCTCTCTTTCCAATTGTAGTCCACATTCAGACTTTGTTGATAACTCTGAAGTATATTTGTCACATGAATTTCTTTGTTCTCCTAAAGCACTTGTTAGCAGACTTGTGATGTTTTGCGTTTGAAGAAATTTATACAGACAATACTCTTACTTTTACATATTATTTCTCTGATCTTTCTAAATCCAAGTACTAAGCTGATAACTAAATATTTGGAGATATCCCAGGGTGGTTGTTCAGCTAAGAGCTGTTTACTGTTCAGAATGCAACTTTGATGTCTCCTGCACCAATGCTTTCTTCAACTACATTGTTCTTTGTTCAACTTTGTTACTTCAATAGGCTCCTGTGACCTAAAGTTTCAACTTGCCTTTGTTAAGGGAAAAATTGAGGCTCTGCCTTCACAAATGACGTGTCTTCTTCTTATGAACGATGACAATTATACAAAGCCATTTTTAATGTTAATAAATATTTCAGAAAAAGATAATTGTTATACAAGAACTTTAACAATAAATGATTTATTTTTTTCAAATACATAACACCTAATACACGACAGACTATAGATTAAGGCTTGTAATGTAACAATGAACAGAAATGACATTGGCTCTTTGCTTTAAGTAGATGGAGCTCTGCTTGGGTACATAGACCAAACACAAACAAGTAGAAATAAATTACCACATAAAACTAGTGGCATATTCTAAAAATCTTTTCAGAATAAACTGTCAGAGATGAAATGAGATAAATGGTCCTGGGTCAGATAGCCAGCTTATAATAGAAAGGAAGGAAGGAGCTATGCTCTTCATTTCTTTTTTTGATCTTGTTGGCTTTGGTAACTGTTGCCACCCTGCCTTAGAGCCAGCTAAGTATGGACTGAAACTCTCACAAACTGTAAGCTAAATAAACCTTTCCTTCTTTCATTTTGGGCATCAGGTATTTTGTCCTATCAAGGAAAGAAAGGTAATCAAGACAGGTACTTACATTAGAAAAGGGAAACACTAATCCCCTGCTCTGAGGAGAGAACTTTTAAATTGAGACTTAAAGGTAGAGAAACAACCAAGAACAGCAAAGAAAAGAATAAGAGCTCATGTGAGAGACTGAGTCAAGACTGCAGTTAGTGTGCCCACTAAGTGTTATTAGAGTTTAAGGAAGTGACTAACGATTTCTAAAATGCATGGACTACAGTTGCCATCAATTACAGGTCCCTTTCTTTACTCTGTGTGGAAATTCATGTATCGAATGAATCAGAATATTTTATCATGCACACAGGACACACTGCCATCCTCTTCTAAATTCACGTGAGAAAATAAAACATATTCAGAAGATACAATAGACTGTCTTTCATAAGTCAGTGTCTCAATAACTACAAATAGCTTCTGTTCATGTAATTCTGTCCATATTTCCTTTTCCTGCTGTTCCCTTCTTTTCTCTTACCTCATGGAAAGCCAAATCGAAATTAAATATTGCTCTTTGAAATAAAGCTCTGAAAATTTGCCTTAGAGTTACTAAATATTTGTCATCATAGTGAAATACTTCACCAACCCATGTTGATGAATGACAGCTCAGTGTGATTGTCCAGAATGAAATCTTCAAAATCTTAACACCAAGAATCCCTTTCCCAGGCTCAGATACTGACTTGATATTCATGGGCATTAATGACACGGTGGTCCCCCTTTGTTCTGTGCATCCTTGGCAGGAGAAGGTCCATTCCAACACGTGCATTCTTTTCTTTAGCTATAGGTGTTATAAAGTCGGTGAATCACGACATCACGTCTTATCTTTAGGTAGCTATATGTATCTAAACTTGACATCTTTAGGTGTTAAACTTGCTGCCGTGATTTTTGATGCTAACCTTATTTTCTTGTTCCAGTTTTTAGCTGACACTTCGCAGTGGCCATTAGACGCCCTTTACCTTTTTGGCTATTTCACATATAGAGGTCGTTATTCATATTCTTAGCATCATCAGTTTTTGTCATTTCTTTTAACTTTGCTACTCTAAGGAGAATAATTTCACTTACCTGTTTTAGAGTGAGAACTGTCTTCACATTTTAAGTTCTCCTCTCTGGAATATTATGTCGATATCTGCAATGATTGAAATTTTATTCAATTGTTTATTATTATAATAGCATGATTGATTTGTTATGAATAAAAGATGAAATTAAGTCACATTTGTGGACTTTTTTCTAATACCATATTAAATTCAGGATCAGAATATATAATTTAATGTCTGAAACCTGGTCCAAAGTAAAAATATAGGGCTTTTGTTTTAAAAAATGATAAAGAATTTGAAGAGCACAGGAACAGAACATTGAACTGAGCACAAGGGTCTTCTGAGCATGGGTCCTGAAGGGTTGCATAAGCTTCAGGTTGAAGAGGCTGACCCAGGCATGGTACATGGGACCTACAGATAAGTGAACAAACAAATATTTCTTTCCAAGTAGCTTGCAATATAATTTTATAATACAGTTTTAAGTATGAAATAGTATATAAAATTAAGTCAAATAAAAATATTTATTTGGCTCACTCTAGCAATATATTTGGGACAGGTTGTCCTGGTGAATAGGAATATGTAGTTAAAAAGAAGCTACTTCAAGTTTCAAATTTATCTTCATTGTTGTGTTTTGGTTTAGCCTGAAGACTGGAAGCCAGATTACTCTAAAAACCTGCCATCCTGCACTCTAGTAGGTGTAGAATGAAGCCCGCTGACTTAGTCTCCTCTGTATAGCTGCATGGGGGATGTGACAGACTCCATCATGTAGATTTTTTAGACAAATTACTATATTTGAAGTCCTTTAAACAGCAAGAACTTTTAAAAAGTTATTTTTACCTTTCACTGTTTGCCTAACCATTTTCAGTATCCTAGACATGGTTTAATCTCTTTGATATTTGTAAACTCAGCTGTAATATTTCCTAAGATTGTTTGTGTGGAATTACAAATTTGGCAATAGGTAAGACATTTGGTTCATCATAATAGAAATCAATTAAATGTAAGTATAGATATATATTATTAAAATTTTAAAGGATTTTCATTTTTACATCCTTATCTTTTTCTTCACTGCAAATGTTCATTTTATTTTGAACAAAAGATTTAAATTTTCTGGTTAGTAAAGCAATTGAGTTAGTCATCTTACAGTTAATAAAGTATGTAATTTTAGCATCCAATTCATGTCAATGTTAACATTCCAAGCAGTCGTAAATACAATTAAAGGCAAGCCCTTTTGAAGTAATCCACTGTGATTAATGAAAGATTTTTTCTTTTATTGTTACATTGCTGATTAATAAAGGACTTTTATATCAATATGAACTATATTATAATGATTAAAAATTTGTTTTGTGCTATATGAAAAAGGTATATTGTTTTACAAATTATAAATCCTATCAGTGTGAGATGACATCTAAAAGTTTTAAACATTATGTTTAGAATTATATTAAATATAATTATAATATATATTATAGTTATAATATATATTATAATATATAATTATAAATATAATTTATCATCAATAGTAGCGATATACTTATTTGACTACTCACAATAGTTCATACTGAGCAATTTATTTTTAAAAAGTAAGTTATAATCAGGTATAATTTTCAAATAAGAATGTGTTAATACTTTCAGTTAAACATTTTTGTTGGTTATAAGAGTTGCACTAAAGTAACACCAATACTCTTAAATTTATTTCCCAGGTTTCTAACCATATTATATACTCAACTCTTCCTTTCTCTTGGCTCTCACCACATAAAATTTATATTTGATTTCTTCTTCTCATATTAGACAGCATTACTGAAGTCTTCACTAACATCTACGTGACCAGTTTTGGCCCTGTCTCAGATACAGATATGGTGAGTTGTTTACTAGAGAATCTTTTACTCATATAATAGGAAATGGGGGTTAATTTAGAATAAAAATTATTTTTATTGTAGAACCACGTGTCTGTTTCATGTCCTATCTACTCTGTGCAAATACAGAGAATTAAGGATGCTAATATGTTTGCTGTCTGGATTATGATAGCAGTTTGAGCTTCAGATTAATCTTTTATTCTCTAGGTTCTTCTCAAAACTTGTCTACCTAGCAGCAGTGTGGTAAAGAATTAAAATGTCAATGCCAATAGTCATATTACTGAGAATAATTTTCTAGTATTCAGGCACCTCCTTGGACTTCTGTAAGTTTATGTATTTCATAGACAAGTGCTTCCTACAGAATGTGGTCACGGTGGTTGTTATGAACGATAGTATTCTAAATGGCACTGAGCAAATGGAATGCCTTGTTGGGCAGTCTGTATCAATAGAAGGCACCGATAACTCAGCATAAGGAAAGTTAGACCACTGATATTCTTGATCTTTACAATTGGTGTTTGATTATTTTTCTTTAAAATGAGACGGGTAGTAGAGGGGACTGTATTTGATGTGTTAGAAAATTTAAAAATCAGTCCATTTCTCATGTTCCTTGTCATGATCTGTAATAGATATTTTTGTTGACTTTACGTTCTAATCACGAGTACCTTACTATAGTCTGTCAAATCCTTCATGTGGCACTTGGCTGTCTTTGGCTTCCCTTATATGCCTATTGCTTGTACCTTGATACCTCTACTTCCTTGGCCAGGTTGTGTCTCATAAATTCATTCATCACTCCAGCATACTCCACTTCATGGCTCAGTGTCTCTGTAAACATCTTCCTCACGGAGTCAGCTTAGTCATTCTTTAACAAGTCATCTCTCCCCAGCTTCTTACCTTTCGCTGGCAACTCAAGAGACAACTTTGCAAGCTTAGATATTTTCCTCTTTGATAAACAAGCAAAATAAAGATTTTTTTTTGTTACTTGCACTTACACATATTATTATTTGATTTTGCAGGAACTCCTTTCCATTAAGAAGCAAAAATGACATTTTTTAGTCAAAAATCTGCTTTTCTTCCATTGGAAGCACTCTCACTTCATAATTCTTTCATTATATTGACCTGGGTGGCTGAAAATGTGAGGTACTATGGGGTTAAGAAGTCATCTTAGAGTTACAGACAAATTTTACAGACCCAGAAATGAGTTGGAAAAAAAAAAAAAAGCAGGTTGCTGAAAGATTGTGCAGTGTGATTTCTAGCTATATTCTGTAGCTATAACAAGACAAAACAAAACAACAACAGACATGGGAATGGGGAAGAGTTTTGGATGCCAGAGGAATGTGCAGTCCCACATTAAATTGCTATTTTATTAAAAAAAAAAAAACTGAAGCCAATGTAGCAAAAATGTTTGTTATGATAAAAGCTGGTCATATTATTTTCTGTACTTTTCTGCTATTCAAATATTTCCCAATAAGGATTGTACCTCATCCTGGGTGCTAGGCACAATTCTGGAAAAAAAAAAAAAAACAACAACAACACCGTGTTAACAAAACCCTTCTTTTTCACTTGCTTTAGCTTACAGTTTGGTCTGTCTGTCTTTCTTTTTGGGGAGGTTAAGAGGACCCACATGCTAGACAAGTACTCTACCTTTGAGTTACACTACCAGGCCCTGATCTAAAATATTACTCTGCTTTTTTTTTTTTTTTTTTTCTGTAGATCAATTAAGTTGACAGGACTTTGAAGTGATATGAAAGACATATTTAGCAATTTTGTGTAGCCCAAATGTTATTCTCTAGGCTTCAAAAATAATCTTTTCTTAGTAAATTATCTTCATCTTTGTACAACTTGTCTTAGTAGCTCCTTCCAAGTAGTAGGAAGGTACGGTGATCATAAATCTCAAACTTCTGCATAGAATTGTGCGTACAGTCAGAATTTTATGAAGCATTACACTGAAAAATTAATAACATGTAATATAATGATGGTGCTTATGTGATTACTTTTGTTGTCTTGTTATCAGCCAAACCAGAAAGGTAAATTGTACATCTTCCCAAAATATCAATAAGTTTGTAATGATAAAGATTTGTGTGTGCCTGTTACAGATATTAGTAGTAATAATGAATGCATTGAATTTTTTAACACATTCAATGATTTTACCAAAAATACCAAAACATTTTTTAAAAAGATGTCTTTTTTATGTGAAGATTATAGAAAAAAATCGAGTCAAAATTTTTGGCCAAATGTATTATGATTTTTTGCACCAACAGGAATAAAGTACTTGACTAATCCTCTCCACCTGTCTATGTTGTGATCAGTATCTGGAAAGAGGATGGATTTTTAGAGGAAGTATACTGATCACAGAATACACAACATGACATAGAGAAGACTTAAAAATGAGGACCAGGAAATAATTTGATTAATTGACTGTTTGGTTTGATATTTTCTCTAAGATTACAGAAGAAAGGGGAACTGATGAATGTCAATGTTGGGTAACCCTTGTACACTTATAACACACATGAACATATAATTATATAACTAATTACAGTCTACCCGGGAATAGGAAGCTCAATTAAAAAATTATAATTATAAATGGTTCAGCCTTCATAATGACTGAAATACATTCTTTTAATCTTGATGTAACTTTTGCTGGAATGTATGAGGAATTCTTTTTCTTGTTTAGTACATGCTCTTGTCTGTAACACTATAAATACAGATATGATGAGGATGAGAAGAGAAGGCACATCCGTATTATTACCCACAAATAAGGAAGGATAAGGAGACAACTAATTAATGTACCTCAAAAGCCATTTATTACTGAAAAAATACATTTAATTATGCTTTGAGAAACAAGGTTGATGCATTCATTTCTATGCAGGTGCATAGTAAATTCTAAACTCTTAAGTTCCCCTGTTCAGCTCAGTGATGTGGATTTGTTGTGACATTAGCCTAAGAGAAAAAAGCAGCATAGCAAAAAGAATTAAGAACCGAAAGAACAAACACTTTCCCCCTCACATGCACCTACACACACGTGTGCTCACACATACACTCACACATACACATGCAGCCACAATCCCTGCTCCCAACACACACCAGCACACACAGCCATCTCAGAATCATTAACCCATGAAATTGCCTGAAGAAAGTTACCAATCTAAATTACGATTAAAGATTCTAATTGCAGTGTCTACAATTAAGTTACAAAATTTTTTATTTCAACACTTAAAAAATTCATGAGCAAGAAGGTAATTAAACTTTAGAATGCAGTAGTAGCTGGCAATTGACAAAGTTTGCAGTAGCTGTGTGCATTATAGCAGTTTCAAACTTACGTGTCTTTTTTTTTCTCCTGTGTTTCTGGGTAGGGTGCATTTTCCTACATTAGTAGAAATTTTCACTGTGTACCCATATTCTTCAGGGATAAGTGATACAACTACTAAATTATTGCACTTCAGCTCAAATGATTACTTTTGATGACTGTTAGAGTTTGAACTTGAACAATGGGAACTTTTGAAGTAACACTGGGATTTCTATCCCAGAGTTTAGCTTAGTCTATTAAGGAACAGGCAGTCAAATGAGTGTAACCTTGGTCTATTACATATATTAGTCTCCTTTTCCTTATTTTTGTCTCTCTATGAAAACATAGAGAGTATTTATGTCTTAGAATCCTCAGAAACCATGGATACTGTTAGCTCAGTAGTTAATCTCATCATAGAGTCAGGGAGTTTTTAGATCTTAATATCTGGTTAGAAATTTACACAGAACTTATCTGCTATCCTTTATCAGAGGTTTTCATTTGCAAATGTGGTTAGCTGAGGAAACACACTATAAAACTATCAAACACTGTATATCTCAAGTAAAGTAGTAACATTTACTCCCTTTAGAGCTAGTATACAGAAGTTGGCCACTGAATGGTTCTTGATATTTAAGAAGTTTAAGAATTAGATAATCAGATAACATTCATTCATTCATTAAGTAACCATTTTTCAGTCTGTGCCTAGAATCTGTAAAAACTTTTCTTCAAAATGTGATGTATACACATCTGTGTTGGGTGAACTTGAATTTGTATTAAACTACTTGAGCACCTTCCAAAATCAGTGGCCTCACTGTTGCTAATTGAGGGCCTGGCAGGCTGCATTTTAAAAATTTAAGTGTTTTACTTCATCTAAATATGGCAAAAAAAATTTATTATAAGATTGTTGAAGGGTTAGGACTATATATAGAGAGTTAGATTTTCAGTAGTCCAAAAATGTGTAGTAGATGATGTAACAAAAAAATGTTTGCCAGAAAAATCATATTCCAGACCAAGAGATGATTGTGGACTGTGTTGGAGTAGAGTTACTGAAGGCTGAGAGACAAGAAAAGATTGAAGTATTTCCATGTGGAGGAATTGTCTGGGTTCAATAATCTGTTCACCGTAGATGTTGAACACGACATATAGAAGAAAGGCTTTGACGTATTCAGTGAGAAGTGGTATCTTTCAAAGGCCTGTGGAACACAGGAGTGAAAGTTTGTCTTCATTTTGTTGCTTGATTGCTGAATATTTGTGGTTTTAGATTTATTAAACTAATGTGTATTTAATTGGAGACATCAAGGTAGAAGGCATAGATCTGTAGCTCAGAAGAGGATTACAGTGGACATGGCTGGAGGCTGTCTGCTGATAATTGAAACCGCAGGCAAATATAAAATTGTGTAAAAAAAAGAAATTGGAATGAAAGTTTCCTCATACTTTTGCAGAAATTTTGTAACGCCAATACTTAAACAACAGCAAGAAACTTAAAAATAACTCAGTGTAGCCTGGTGAAGACCAATCATGTTTATTTGTCAAAATGAGTGATGATTTCCATCACTGAAATAGACTGTGCTTTGATCCTTAATTACAAATGTCAAAAACCATCAGTTTTATACCGTATCAGAGGCAATGATTCGCAGTAGTCAGAAGTCTGCAACGTAGCCCTCTGTCGTAAGGAGATTCTATAGATGAAGCTCATAGAGTTTATTTGGTAATGCACGAATCC